TCAGCACTTGACAGAGTAGGATGGGGGGGGGAGGTTCTAGGCTTTGCTGCATCACCAGTATTACTGGGGGTTTTGTTTGCCTCTTTTCAGTGTCAGAATGCGTAGCAGTGTACATCAAATTGTCAAGAGTATCATTTAAATCTCCTCTCAGTGCCTTAAGTCAAGACTGTTGGTGTAAGCTACCTTCATTTTCTTCACAGGCTGCCTGCAAGTTTGTCAAGTCTCACGTGGACTCCAGCAGTGTTGATTCCCTCTTCTATGCTGCACAGTCCATCCGGGTCCTGGCTGGCTGTGAGGTGAGTTTGGAGCTCTGAGCTCTGCAGACACATGTTAGCAAGGAGATACTTCTTTGGATCTTTTTCTTGGGTTTATTTTATGGCTAACTTTTGCTTTCTTTGAGTTGGTTGTACTCAGTTGTGTCTTGGGTAAATAAGTGAAGTGTCTGGGAATACTCTGTATGAGGCACAGTGTGAAGATATGAAGAAAGTACTTGGTCCAGAGTAATTCTGAGGGAGTGTTTCTTGATTAAACATTAGTGGCTAAGGACCAGCACCTTCTAATAAAATTCACAGCAGCTGTGTCAGTTACAAGCTCCTTTGGGTTTGGCTGTAAACTCTGTGTTGAAATAGTGACACAAATGCAGCCCACCTGTGCTGAGGGGTGAGTGGGTGATCCAAGCCCCATTTGTCATCAGTACCACCAGCTGCTGCACAGTGATGTGAGGCCAGATGAAAAGCAGTAGTGAGTTACCAGGATAAATCTGAATCCTGGATTATCCTGACTAATTCTTAAGCCCCCAACATAAGAAGGACATGGAGCTCCTGGAGTGAGTCCAGAGAAGGCCATGAAGATGATCCTTGGGCTGGAGCAGGCTCTGCTCTGGAGACAGGCTGGGAGAGTTGGGGTGTTGAGCCTGGAGAAGAGAAGGCTCCAGGGAGACCTTAGAGCAGCTTCCAGTGCTTGAAGGGGCTCCAGGAAAGCTGGGGAGGGACTTGGGACAAGGGCAGGGAGGGAGAGGACAAGGGGGAATGGATTAAAACTGGAAGAGGGGAGATTCAGGTTAGACATTAGGAAGAAATTCTTTAGTATGAGGGTGGTGAGACCCTGGCCCAGGTTGCCCAGGGAAGCTGTGGCTGCCCCATCCCTGGCAGTGTTGAAGGGCAGGTTGGATGGGGCTTGGAGCAACCTGGGCTGGTGGGAGGTGTCCCTGCCCATGCAGGGGGTTGGTGATCTGTAAGGTTCCTTCCAACCAAAATTATTCTATGACTAATTGATAGTTGACAGCAAAACTTACTATTAATTAAGCTAAAAGGTAATGAATTATAAAGGCTTTTTTTCCCCAAAAGGTTACAGTAGCTCACCAGTAGAACGTGTCACACCAGGAAGAAATCAGTGGTTGACTAAAGGCCTTATATTCTCAAGTGTGAATCAATGTGTTCCCTGTGTCTTTCCTCAGGTTACCATTTCAAATGAGACCAGGGAGCTGCTGCTTGCAGCTGTCAGTGAGGACTCCTCAGTCACCCAGATCTTCCATGCTGTTGGGGCTTTGAGTGCCTTTGGCCTTCCCTTGGCATCTCAGGAGGCACTTTCTGCCCTCACTGCTCGTCTGAGCAAAGAAGAGAGCGTGCTGGCGTAAGTCTTCAGATGGAAGGGATTCCCTGATGCATGGTTACCCTCTAGGCACCTGGGTTTGGGGGTAAAGGGTGTTTTAACACTTCATATTTGTAATGCAGATGTAGTAGAGTAGGTGCTGGTTTTCTTTGATCTCTTTGTCCTGTTCATTATTGTCCTTCTGGGGGAATGAAAAATATGGTTTTCAGGCTGTTTTCTGTATGATTTTTACAAAGGAGCTTATGTAGTTCCAGAGGAGTGGTCAGTAAAGAAGGCACATCCCAAAGAAGCTTCCTTTTTTGAAAAAATAAATCTATTCACAACCGATTTTTTACTTAAAACCCAGCCATGGTTCTTTGTCATTGACAGTTGTGATAGACATGATGCTCTTCCTTAGCCCTGATGTTTGGAGGTTGGGATGCCTGTACTGTGAGGTGGGAAAAACGTGCCAGAAAGCAGAAAGGATTCTTGGCATTTGTCACCAAAGAATTAAGTCATTTTACTGTGACAGGAGAGAACAGAGATTTCCTTAAAAGCCAGGGAAGAAAAGGAAACTTTAAAACTTGCTTTGATGATGAGAAAAACAAAAAAAAATGTTGCTGGAAGCCTTTGTAGCAAGTCTGGGGATCTGGGCTGTGCAGGGATCAGCATTTTGTCTTTTCTCTGCCTTTGAACCTGTGAGCTTATTGCAGCTAAAGTGACACCCCCTATGAATTCTAAGTTTCCACTAAATCATTTCAGATTCATTGCTTTGAGTCAGCTAATGCAGGTACAGCTGCTTTACACTTAATTAGAACAGAAACTGTAGTTGCTTTGACTTGAATAATGTTTGGCTTTTAAGGAAGGAAAATCATACAGTTGTTTGTTCTTGTTTAAGAACCATCCAGGCTCTGGAGACGGCATCTTACTTGTCCCAGCAGGCAGATCTAAGTGGCATTGTTGAGGAGATAGAGGTAGGAACATCCTATGTTCTCTAATTATTCAGGAATTTGTTAGATTTCTGTAGCACTAAAACATGTATTCATGTGAAACACAAAATGCAAAACCAACCTGGCTGACTCCATGCTGTGTTATGTGGGTTGGCTTGGCTCTTCCTTCCAAGCAGATATTTCTTCTGGACTTTTAACTGTTTCACAGTCGACTGAGACACAGAAAATAATTCCTTTTAAGTATAATTGAATCCACTAAAGGTTTCTTTTTCTTCCTGCTTCTGAATGACTATTAGAAAATACTTCAGTGACCCAGAACAGCTACTCTTGATTACTGGCCTAATGATTCACTGCAGTGGATCTATTAGATTGCATTTACATTTTAATAACTCTTTCTGTCAGGATCTTGTTGCTCGCCTGGATGACCTGGGTGGAGTTTACCTGCAGTTTGAAGAAGGGATTGAGGCAACTGCCCTGTTTGTTGCTGCTGCCTACAAGCTGTCAGACCACGTGGGTGCAGAGCCAGCCATGAAGGAGGTCTGTAGCTGCCCTTCCCTCCCTTGCACACTGCAGCTCAAATAAAGATCTGCCTCATCCCTGTCATGCAGTGCAGGAGGCCAGTAGAACTGGGAAGAGTTTCTGCTGGAGTGAGCACCCTCACTGAAAAGGGACATCTTAGAGGGAAAGCTAAGTAAAAGAATGTGGGAGGCAGTTCCACCTTCAACATCACAGGCTGGATTTTGTTTGGATTTTTACTTTTTCAAATGTACAGAAGGAAGTTGCAAGTGAGGTATAGTTTTTAATCTGTTTAGTGAGACAAGCTGTTGAAAAAAACCACCTTGTTTAGGAGTTTGTTCTGATATTTGGCACTTGTCCAGCATGTTCCAAGTATTTTCAAATGTTACTTACCTGTGAGGAAATGCAGGCACCCTAGTTTGGGTTGCCCAAACATTAATAACATACAATTAATAACATACATTAATAACAGTTGTTGGGGAGACAACATTAATAACATACACCTACAGGAGTCTAGATGGAAAAACTTGTCTAAAATGAAAGGCTGTTGGAAATTCCTTTTGAGTTTAAGCTAGAAATCATTACTACAAAGTGTCCATTTAGTTTAGCTTTTTTTCCCCACAACAAGTTAGCTGAGGGAGATGTAATTCTGATGGAGAATGGCAGCTCCCTGAAGCACAAGCCAAAGTGGCAGGGCTGAGACAGGAGTCAGTGTAAGACATCTGAGTTTATTCCTGGCTCTCTTCCATGCTGCTGCCAGACTAATGCCAAGTCATTTTCATGTCATTTTCAAGGTGGTGGTTCTGCTACACACAATTCAAACTGTCAGTGTCCAAGTGATGTTTAAAATAAAAAGACTAATTAAGGAAAATGGGGTAGTGTTGTTTCAGAATTGTGCTGTCAGAAAGTGCTATTGTTGGGGCTTAAAGCTTTATCTCTTGTGAATGGTGAGAGTGCCTCCAGAATGCCACAAAACTCTCTTTAAAAATTAACATCTAATACTTGAAAAAAATAGCTCCTCAACTTTGTTCCTCCATAATTTAAATGAGTATCAGTGATGAAGGTCTGGAGCTGTGCCATGCCCTCCATATAGAGGAAGAACACTGCAGGATTTGCACTGTTGGGGAGCATTGTAGGATCTGTCTGGGTGCTTTCTCTAGTTTAATGTCATGTACATTATACAAGTAGGAGGGTGAACATTTGAGATGCAGTGGATTTAATTTAAAGTGTTGTTTGTCTGTAGGCTACTAGGTTGTGTACTTGTTGCTTTAATTGCTGTTGTCTTTGATTATTTTCATTTCTGATTCCAGTTTAGCCCACAATCCTGTGCCTGTATCAAAGTCAAGTTAACCAAGCCCTGTGTTTTCCAAGCTAGGAGGGAGCAATGGAGGAATCTGAGTCAGATGGCACACTCTGTGGAGATAGATAGACTAACCCTGCAATGTCAGAATGCAGAACCAGGTGGGGGGTGCTGTCCCACTCCTACTTGGGAGAGAACAGATGAGCTTTGGCACATCCCAGAGCCGGGGCTGGCTCTCTGCTACTGGTAGTACTGCTTTAAAGCTAATCCTCTTAGCTGGAGGACACCGCTGAGCTGAAGGGGATAAGCCTGCATGGGTCTAGACTGGCTCCTTCCAGAGCCATTAGGATGCCTTGCATCACCTCTCCATGGCCTTCCCAGCTTGGCAGGTAGCCAGGACATCTAGCCTAGTCCTTCCCACCGTATGGTCAGACAACTTCATGGCTCCTGGAGCCACCTTGTCTTTCTGCAGCTACACCAGGTCTGGATGATTCTGAAGCAGGGGAAGAGGTAGTTTCAAGTTCTGGTTTTGCAAGTTTTCAGCACAATGACAGCAGTTGTGGTTGGAGAATAAAAATGCTAACATGATATTCAAAAGGTGGCAAATTGTGAATTCCCTCATAAGTTGAGTTATTTTTAAAGCAAATGGGAAATAAAATGGTCCTTGTGCACGATGTGTTTGTTAATAACATTGTACTGAGACGGTCTGCAGTGTGGTGGTAAGCTGCTGGTGCTTAGATGCAATTTGCTTTTGTTCTTTCAGGACCAAATTATCCAGCTGATGAATGCAATTTTTAGCAAGAAGAACTTTGAGACGCTCTCCGAGGCCTTCAGCGTCGCTTGTGCCGCCGGCGCTTTATCCCGGAACCGCTACCACTTGCCTGTCATTGTTGTCCCTGAGGGGCCTGCAGCTGTGTCTCACCACCAGCCTGTGCTCAGGGTGAGTCCTCAGCCCCAAATCTCATCTCTTGATTCAGTCTTTAGTATTGTAGGTCTGGGCTGACAGAATGTGTAAGGTGATGCCTTCCGTGTTTAGCTCTGAGACTCGGGTTCCAGTAGATCTGGGGTTTTAGTGCCTTTATGAAGGGATTCTTAGGAACTTCTGCTTACCCTGGGGTTACAAGGCACTGTGTGAAAGTCAGCTCTGCTGATTATAAACTTGAGCTTCCCTGGTTATGTTAGGTGAATCTGGGATGCTGGGCAGGGGAGAATTCTGGATGTATCTTGCAGTGGAATAGTGAGTCATCTGTGCTCTTGCATTTCCTCTGGGACAATGAGTTTCATGGACATGCTTGTTTTTCTCTTGTAGCTGCAAGTGACTGATGTTATGTCCCAACCCCTGACTCAAGCTTCTGTAACACTGGACTATGCCAAGTCTGCATCTAGCAAAGCCACCATCCTTCAACAGACAGCCTTTGCTCTCTCTGGGTAAGAATGTAATCTTAATTCTACAGTTTGCCAGGCAAACACGTGGTGTTTAAACAGCATCATACTTGTTTTCCATGTGTGTTCTTCCACCTGAGATGTTTTTACGGTGGAAAACCCGAAATGCTGTAGTTGTGCTTTGTTGGAAATGGGTGACTGAGCAAGTTTGGGAGTGATGGTGAAATTCTGTTGCTTTTTCTTTGATGGAGGGAATTGCAACATTAGTTTTCTGCTGCATTTATCTGCTTTCCTGCTTAATCTGGTTGACTGCACCCAGAGTTATGGTCAATGGTTCAGTGTCCCAGTCGAGGCAAGTGATGAGTTGTGTTCCTCAGGGGTCAGTACTGGGACCAGTGCTGTTCAACATCTTTGGAGACATGGACAGTGGGATTCAGTGTATCTTCAGCAAGTTTGCTGATTATACCAAGCTGTGTGGGGTAGTTGACACCCTAGAGGGAAGGGATCCATCCAGAGGGACCTAGACAGGCTGGAGAGAGAAGTGGACCAATGCCAACCTCGTGAAGTTCAGCAAGGCCAAGTGCAAGGTCTCTCACCTGTGTTGGCACAAGGGGTAATGGTAACTGAAAGAGAGGAGATTTAGGTTAGACATCAGGAAGAAATTCTTCACCATGAGGGTAGCAAGGCACTGGAATATGTTGCCAGGTAGGTTGTAGATGCCCCCTCCCTGGAGGTGTTCAAGGCCAGGTTGGATGAGGCTTGTGCAGCCTGGTCTGGTACGAGGTGTCTCTGCTCATAGCAGGGAGATCTTTGAGGTCCTTTCCAACCTTAACCATTCTATGCTGCTATATTTAGAGACTTGGTAGCAACAAGTTCCCAATTTCTAGGCAGCTGTTGGTGTCCTAGAGGGTACTTAGCACTGTGCTTTTTTGTTTCAGAGATGTTTTTGAGCTGAACTTCATGAATGCAAAACCTGCAAGTGGATATTATGATTTCTCCATCAGTGTTGATGGAGATAAGCGATTTATTGCTAACAAAGTAGAGGTGGGTATGCTTTTTGGTGGCATTTTTACTCACTGAAACAGTTTTGTGTTTACACCCCTTAAGGATTTTGCCATCTTTGTGGCATATTTAGCACGTTTTCCTGTAATGCATTGGATTTTGACCTGGGATTATGACCAGATTAATACCTGATCAAAAGAGATTTGTGCGAATTTCAGAGCTGACTTTTCACTTAGATGCTGATTCTACAGCATCTGACCAAAGGCTAGCAGTGGGAGTGTTCATATAGCAGCCCAAAGCAGCTATGTAAAAAATATTGCTGTTTGTTAGTTCTTCAGAGCATGCAGGTTGAGTCTGTAAATCTCAAGGCTTGGCTGACAGTTGTTTGGTGACTGATGTGTGGGAGGTGAGCATTTGTTGTTACGTGTTTGTGTAAGCTCTAGAGCCCCAGGAAGGAGACAAGGGAGTCTTTGGCATTTCCTAACTGTATGACTCCCTTGTATTGGAGAAACAGTGACCAAAGCAAAGGAAGTAATCCATTTCATGCATGCATACCCTCTTTTTTGTGACAAAAAGCTGCTATACCACACCTATCTGTAACAGAATTTTAGATAAACACTTGGGAGTTTCACTTCCCTCAAGCTTGTTACAGTGAGAAGAACATGACTTCTGTGACTATTCATCTAGTCACCTCACTGTCAGCAGCTGAAAATGCTCTTCTCCAGTGATGTCTGTTCCCAGGGTTAGTTCTTGCCCTCAATCACCTACTTACGGGAAAGATTAACTTTTCCCGTCTCCCAACACAGTCAGCATGGAGAGGAGGAAGACACTTCTTTACGACTGCTGGCTCAACTTCTCTGTGGATCAAATGGATGTTGTCATTGCAGCAGTAATGGCACGTAGGAGTGTCAAAAGGGGATTGATTGGCATTAATGCTGCTGCCTTTGTGTGAACTGCTTCTAATAAGACACATTGTTATGGGGGAGGACTGCTGGGGGAACTGCTTTTTTTTTTTTCCTTACTGTTATTAGCATTAATTGTCCTTAATGCACCATCGTTTTGACAGTAATGAGCTAAACCAGTGGGTTATTACTCCAGGCAGAGACTGCATTTCCTGGCATTAAAATATTTGAGAGATGTTTGTGTACTGGTCAGTTGGAAGGGGCTGTGTGCAGCAGCTCTGAGTTGCCTTCACTTCATTAAAAATGAGTATTTCATTAGTCCCATTTGCTCCCATCTCAGAACAAACTAAGGCTTTAGTAGAGGTAGCCTGAACAGTCTACATGTTAACTGATCCATTTTCAGGGGTAACCTTCATCTTAAATTACACTTCTTGTTGTAAAGGAGCTGCCAAGATCATTGTTTGAAGTCTGACCCAAATACTTTGGTTTATGTTTTTACATATTTTTTCCCACTGGTTCCCTGTGAATTATTTTTCAGGGTGAGGGTGTGGGGCTGGCTCACATGAGCAAACTTGTAATAATAACAAATTGGAGTATATGATGAAAAATATCTTGGCAATGAAACCTTAATTCTCCAGGGGAGCATTTGTAAGCTGTGGGAACAAAAATGCTAATTAAAAATTACAGACTGCAGTTACTGGTTAGGTTTAGGAGGACTGAAACCAGTGAAACCCACCAATGTTCACTGCTGAGATGGTCTGTGGTTTGGACCTGGGAGAGGGCAGGATGTTCTCTGCTCAGGGTTTTTGCTGCACTTAGCACAAAGGAGGGTGAGAAAAGGTGGTGTTTGCTGCCCTGCATGAAATGGTCAGTCCTGTTATTCTGAAGAAAGACTGGCTGAAGAAAGTGCAGGTCTGCAGGAAGACTTTGGCTTTTGCCTGCTGGTAAGAAACATCAGCAGAAACCTGTTGAGACTGTAGGAGCCAAAAAAATGCATAGCTGGTTGCTGTCTGGAGACCTCTCATCTGAAATTGCTATGTCCAGGAAGCAGAAGTACACGTGCATGTGCAGTTTGTGCATGATGTAATCTTTAAGAGCTGGTTTCTGCTGGTTTAAAAGGAAAAGTCGTTTACCTGGATAGTTGGACTGTTTTTAATGAAACAGTTCTCCCAAGGGCAGGTAACTCTAGCATGACTGAGAAGCTGGTGTCTTCAGAGCTGGCTGCTTGTGCAGAGAGGAAGGGGATGTGTTAGGGACTGATGCAGCAGCTCTGCTGGAAGGTAAATTGCTGTAGATCCTGTTGTTCTGGTTAGTTTGTGTCTTTGGCTTAGAGTAAGACCCCCTTTGGGGAAGGAAACAGAAGAGCTAAAGCTTCTGCAGAGAACTTGACCATAATTAGTATATGTAGAGAGCTCTGAGCAATGTTGTGTTCTCTTGCAGCTGAAAGTGAAAGTTTCCACAGAAGTTGGGATTACTAACGTGGATCTTTCTACTGTGGATAAAGATCAGAGCATTGCACCAAAAACAACCAGGTAAAATGACTCGGTTTGTGGGATCCTTTAAGGGGCAACTCTGGCTCTAGACTGCATGTCTTCTGAGATTTACCCACTTCAGCTAAACCAGAGGAATCTTGTACTGGAAAAACTAGAGTTAAACCCAGGCTGTTTCTCTTAAACCTCTGAGTTCATTGGGAGTATGCTTATTATTTTTACAGGTGGCTTTCCTTAATACTTAAGTAAGTACTAACAGAAGGCAAGCAACCTGAATCTTCTGTTCCTTTGTTGGCACCTCTCCATAACAAAAGCAGGTTAAAAGAATTCTGTTAATGTTTCTGGTATTACTTGGCTTTGGTAGAGGTGCTCTAAAGCAACAATTATGCCGTATTTGGAAGGTGTGGCTGTACCATTGCTAGGTGTCCTGGAATTTAAAGTAGGCTTTTTTTTAACCTGCATCTGTTACAGTGTAATGCATGGAATTTAATTTAGGTTGCACAATCTCTCTGAGACCCCTCTGTGCATGTGTTGATACAGCCTTCCTGTCCTGAAGTTTGAGTGTTGTTTTTTTTCTGTCCTGCTGCCCTCACACCTTTGGTTGTAGCATAGCTTTGCCTACATGGAATGTGGGGTGTAGTGTTAGCAAAACCTTCTTCTGATGTTCCTTTGAGCCTTACAACAAACAACTGGTTTACTTGAAAATGGGCAAAGTATGTAGCTCACCAAAATCCTGCCAAAAATTCCATTCATTTATTTTTATTAAATTGATGGGAAGAGAAAGACATGTTAGTTCACCTGACTTCGATCAAATAGCTCATTGGTGGTAAGTAGGCCGGACAGGCTTGCATGCCCTGTTTTCTTTGAAGGCCAGAGCTGCTCTTGGAAAATCAGCTCAGGTCTCTTTGGTTTTTTTCCTCCTAGGGTTGCTTACCCAGCCAAAGCCAAGGGCTCCTTCACTGCTGACAGCCACCAGAATTTTGCTTTATCCTTCCAGCTGATAGATGTGAACAGTGGAGCTGAACTCATCCCTCACCAGGTGAGGACAAATGTTTGTCATTTCTTTGTCACAGGTGTTCCATCTTGAAGTATCTGAGGTGACCATTGCTCTTGAAAAGATTTGATAGGTTTAGAGAAGCCTTATGTTTCTGACACAGGCTGTGGAAGATCACTGATCTTGGTAGGTGGGAGGTGGATTCAGTTCGTTTATTTGGCTGTATGTTCAGTGAAGCCTCTTCTGGCTCTGGGGATGTGTCATTTTAAATCAGCACAGGTAGTCTACACTGTAAAAGCACCTCTGATTTTTTTAATGTAGATTGTTTGCAGGTAAAGTTCTTGAAAGTAGATGTTTTTTTAATTATTTTTTTTCCCCATACAAAATAGGGAGGAATAGCCCCAAAAAACCCATACATCCCTGTTGTGTGCTGATGTGCTTTCCCTCTTGAGTGACCTTCAGGATATTTCCCTGTACTTCAAGTGGGCCACTGACCAGTCTTGGTACTGTGTTCATGCAGTTACTTGGAGACATTGGGCTCTGCTGGTTTGCAGGGATGTGGGCACCCAAGCTCCCAGTTTATAATCCCAGTGTTTATGTTGTGCTTTTTGACTGGGGGATAAATCTCAATTTGCTGGCATTTGTAAAAACACTGTGAGAGATTCCAGAAATGTTCCAATCTTTCCTTTCAGACCTTTGTCCGACTTCACAACCAAAAGACTGGCCAGGAGGTTGTGTTTGTTGCAGAACCAGATAGCAAGAATGTATACAAGTTTGAACTGGATACCTCTGAAAGAAAGACTGAATTTGACTCTGCCTCTGGTACCTACACTCTTTACTTGATAATTGGAGATGCCACTCTGGAAAATCCGATCTTGTGGAATGTGGTATGTACTTGGGAGCATGATGATGTAATTTTGAGATTACTCATAGTCTTAACAGGAGGGTATGGGACAGGCTTGGAAGAAAAAAGCTCAAATGTCTTTGTTCTTTGTAGTGAAGCAGAATCTTTTTTGGCCATTTATGGACTCTGAGGTTGGCTGTTCATTTTAAGTTTTGAAGCAAGACTGAAATGAACATTTATTTCATCATGCAGTGGAACAGAAACTTCAGACATTTATGGGTTTGATTGTTATTTCACAGCAAGCACTTCCAGGTTTAGCCTTTCCAGCTTGCTATGCTGGAAATAAGTCCAGCTTCTAGTGATGGGTGAATGGCATCACTGCCTGTGTTTAGGAGAGACTGCTTCTTAAAAATCTGGTGGCTTTGTCTTAGTTTCCTTTAAAATCATGTCAAGTCACAGATTCATAAATAAGGAAATAGGCAACAGTGATGGAGGAGGTTTTATAAGACTTACAAGATGTTAAGATAAAACTTCATGAAGCTGTACAATTTCATTTCAGGCTGATGTTGGGATCAAATTCCCAGAAGAGGATGCACCATCCACGGTCCAGTCCAAGAACCTCTTTGTTCCCAAACCTGAAATCCAGGTACAGTCAAACAAAAATTCTGTGTGAAGATGTGGGGCTAGTGCTACAAGTGTTATTTGTTCTCACTTTTGAAAATATCACCTCTACTTAAAAAAAGGTGAGTACTGTGGAAGTTATGTAGTTAAAGGAAGGCCAGGGTTACTGGAAGAAATTTGTTTTCAGTCCTCTAGAGTGTGAATACTTGTGTTGTGTGTCCTACCTGTGAGAGAGCATCTGGTATCACTGAGAAGACTGAACTATGTGAATTTGAGTAGGTAATAACACAGAAAACTCTCTGGATCTGAAGGTTTCTTTTGCTTCATTCCAGCCATCTGTGCTGATGACAAGCCAGTAAGTTCATCTCTATGTGCAAGGAGAAGTTAATGGTGCAAGAGATCAAATGTGCAGAGGCTGGAATAAGCATTACTTTAAAGACTCAGTGTTTGCCTTAAGAGGAATGCTTATTGTCCAAAGGAACATCTGGGAGCAGCACCAGGCTGCAGCTAGTCCTCTAGGGAGCTGAGAAGCTGCCCTGTTGGAATACTCCTACTTATGAGTTGGGTTTGTTTGTTTGCAGCACCTCTTCAGGGAGCCTGAGAAGAGGCCTCCCACTGTGGTATCTAACACTTTCACTGCATTAGTTCTCTCCCCGCTGCTTTTGCTGCTCGTTCTGGTGAGTAAACTGGGCCACAGAAGAAGAAAATCTTTTCCCATGAAGACCAAAGTCACTTGAGAGGTCAGACAGCTAAACTTTTTAATAAGAGGTTAAATTATTATTAAAGACTAGCACAGCAGTGCTGCAGTGGTAGCCAGCACATGTCAGTGCAGAGCACTGGAATGGTCCCTAAAGTGTTTTTTATTGTTGAGTTTATAGTCAGAAAATCACTGCTGCCCAGTTGAAGTAAGTGGGGTGAGTTTCTTCAGTGTGCTTCTGCTGGGAATGTTGAATACCAGTGGGAAGATGTTGTAACTAACCTGAGAGTTCCACAGGTGAGAAAGCAGTGATTCTGCTGGCACTTCATATATCCATCACATCAGCTGTGTTACCTAATCCTGTCTGCTTCCCATTTATGGACATAATTGGTATTTGTGTGTCTGTAGTTGAAACAACTACTGCTACTCACTGTATCATCAGATCAGTGTTTTGAACTTAGTACAAAATCCCATTTTAGGCAAGTGAAGTTACTCCTTATTTGGAGGATGAAACTGATCCCTGACTTGCTTGACAGTAATTTCCCATTAGCTATCCTCACTGAAAGCTGGCATTCAGATCTGGAGTTCACAGTGTTCATGTTGATGACTCTTCAATGAAAAATGTCATTGCTCCTGGTTTCCATCCTTCATTCCTTTCTCTTTTGTACTCTAAAAGCTGAAATGGTTTTTATGACCAAACATCTTGTACCTAAATGATTTGCTGTTATGTATCTATAGCTGTTCTTTTGCTGAGTCCAAAACTCTAGAACCTTACTTTTTTAAAATTAAAATTAATTCAACTGGATAAAAATAGCAGTGTTTATTTTTCTGCAAAGTGTAGATTTGGAGCAATACCCTCTCGTTTTAAGAAAGATAATTGAGGAGCTGTCTTTAAGCAGTCAGAAGCAGCAGGAGAAATCTTCACCAAGGGAGCTCAACAGTGTTGTCTTTAGCAAAATTACTGCTGTGTCCTCTTGTAGGAAACAAGTGCTTCTGTAGAGAATCCACTATTCATTGAAGAGCTTAAAGCAAACGGGCTTGAAAGATACTAAGTTAAAAACAAAAGCTTGAGCTCATAAGGCTGTTGTAACTTGGGTTTTGTTTCTTTTCCTCCTAGTGGATAAAGATAGGTGCCAACATCTCCAACTTCAGCTTTGCTCCCAGCACCATTGTTTTTCATCTGGGACATGCTGGTAAGTATCAGAGGCTTTCTGCTTTGTTTGACCTTCTCACCTGGGAGCTACAGATGAGAGCCCTGGTGGTTAATGGGCTTGAGGTCTATTAACTGTAATGACATAATAGCATAACATTTGTTCTCTTGTTTTCATCTGCCTTCCTGCTTTTCCTGATTGTTAATATGGTGATAAACCTGTTTTGGACATCAGCTTATAACAGCAGTCATTTTCTGGGCTCCTCTCACACACCATTTATGTGTACTTAATAGAACTTCTTATTTCCAGAGGTCACACTTTCTTTATTGCATATTTAGCCTTTGTAAGCAGGGAATTTCTGTGGGGATTGAAACCTGCAGGAATGTTGTCTTTATCTTTTCCTTAGAGGTCTTCCTATTAAATATTTTTTTATTCTTTGGCTGGGTCATTTATTTTTTTCTATCGATTTAATTGTGCCCTTGGCTGCACAGTTACTTACTGTCTTGACAAAATTTCAAAAACAGGAGGTTGGGAGAACCTGGGATCTACTGTACCCCAAATGACAGTGTGTTGATTATTCCAAGCCAGCTTCCTTGGAAGCTTTATAAAACTGTAAGCTCCTCCAGATGTGCAAAGGTTAATATCTTATATTGAAATCCAGAGTATCCTCCTTTTAACAGCCCTTAATGTCTATAATATGTCCATAATTCTGCCACAAGAAGGTTGGCTGCAAACTGTCAGCATCACATTTTTCTCCAGTATGGACACCCAGACACCTTCTTCCACTGGCAATAACATGGTCTTTAGACCTGGCAATTCAGAGCTTCAGAGATGAGACAGACCCCCAATTCCTAGGTCTGGCAGTACAACACAACAGTTATTCTGAAGATAATGAATGGTTGGTTTTGGAAATGCAGTTTCAGCCATGTGTTTTTCCACAGCAATGTTGGGACTCATGTATGTCTACTGGACTCAGCTCAACATGTTCCAGACTCTGAAGTACTTGGCCATTTTGGGTGGTGTCACGTTCCTGGCAGGCAACAGGATGCTGGCTCAGAAAGCAGTAAAAAGGTAAGCCAAGGACTGGTGGTTGGTGGAAGCAGCTCTTAAAATCAGCAGGGAGGAGATCACAATGGTGCTATGGTGTGTCAGTAACTGACACAGTAATTCTGCTTTTGGTTCTTGGGCCTGGTGTGTGCGGATGGGCTGCTCTTCTGTCCCACTTCTGTGCCTGTTGCCAGAATAAGAGCTTGAATTCATTAGGGTGACCAGTGGCTCACACCGAGGTGCAGCAACTGCTGCTTCAGAGAGAATGGTCCTGTTGGCCACCTTCTGGAAAGATCAGGCACGTGGAGAAAGCAAAGGGTGGAAGTCTGTGATGCATTCACTGGGGACTTTGATATAACGGGATATATCAAGCTCTTACATTATTGCTAGATGGTGGAAGCTCAACTCTTCTGTAGTTGTGCTGTGAGAAAAGTTGAAGGAGGAGGGGGTGTCTTACTGCTGTGTTCCCACCCCCCTGAAGGGGGATTCTAGAGAAGAGGAAAGCTGCTGTTTCCCAGAGGGGTGCTGCAACAGGCCAAGGGCAGCACACACAAGCAAAACCAGAGAAAATTCTGATAAATGTTACGAGATACAAGATTCAGTTCTGTGCTGGCACTGGACTGAGTCTTCACACTTGTCTTATGCTACTCAGTGTCTGGTGAATGTGCTGTGGCTTAGGCAGCCTGCAGGCAGTTTGCTGACCCAACCTTCCAGTACAGTGCAATAATTAGAGGGCAAACTCTCCCTTTCCTTCACTTCTGCCACACAGGGTTTTCATGTGAGACTTAAGTTTTAGCCCTTTTGTACTAATGTAGAGTTTGGCTTTGTAGATGATCTTACTGACCTGCTTTGCCATCAAACCTGTGCTTCTCTGACTTTCCCCTTTTTAAGCCAACAGGAGTTGTTTATCCTTGCATTCCTATTTGCATAGATACCCCTGGGTTCTCACTTTTGTATTACATTGTGTTAAAACCAGAGCAAGAGCCTTAAAAAAACCCACAAGAATATAATTTTTCAGGGGGTTTGCATTGATGTGTTGACTTTCAAACATCTGTACTTGCTTGGCTGTAGCAGGGAGGATAATTATTATAACCAACCCTTTCCATACCATCCTCCCAGCTTTCTCAGCTTTGCTCCCTTGGATGTCCAGCCCTTTCCACTCTGGCATCATAGCAGTTCCTACTGGGATTTTGTTGCCAACGGGGCTATGTTGTGTCATTTAATAATATTTTCTTTTTAATTTAAAGAGTAATGATAAAGTCATTAGTAATTACAGATTGCCTAGGCTACAGATTTGGGGGAAAAAGAATAGAATGAAACTTGTTTCTAAGTGTCTTTGCTCAACCAGGGCTTCTGTTAGCACATAAATGCAGGTGGTTGGTTCTTACCTCAAAGCACTGCAGGGGGTGTCTGTGCTTTTTCGCTGCAAGTGACATGAAGCCGCAACTACAATGGCAGATTTGAAAGTAAAACTTCTGCCTTAGGCTAAAGTTAAACCCTTTATACATGACTTTAAAGTTCAAAAAGACATGTTCTTGTTACCAGGCTGCTAGCCTGTCTCAGATGAAGTGCAGTGATAATTAACTGGATTGTGCTTTGAGGCAAAGCTGCTGTTCCACTATGGAGACCTGGCAGGCGTGGGAAGGGGACTGTATAAACCATCTTTTTTTTACAGAAGTTACCAGAAGGCCTGGTTTTGCTTTTTGCTTTTCTGTTGCTGGAGCAGGGCTGCTTTCCTCCTTCCTATCTTTTCTGAACCTCTCTTCCTCTCTCCTTTTGGCAGGATTGCTGCAGAGCAGAGCAGTAGGTTGGCAAAGTATAGGACGCTGCGGTAGAAGGGGGTTGTGCTAGTGACCAGCTCTCCTAGAAGTAAGGGCCTTTTTTGGAATTTGCCTTTCCTGGGCATGCTGCCTGTTTTCATTTCATGTCATCATTCACTCCTTGTACAAAAACATACCTGAGCTGAAGCTGCCTCCTTCCAACATCACTTACTGGGCTTTAAAGCAGTCCTTGGCCACAGCTGGGTTTGCATATTAGCAAGTGCGTGTCCTCTGAGATTAAATAAATTGCCTTTGTGTGATTTCCTTAATCATCTGAAGTCTGCAATAATATGTGCACATGTGAATATGCTGTCTTGGCCACCAAGCACCTGTCAGGTAATGAAATAAACCTGGTTTGAGCAGTATTGTAGCTGTAAATAAATTATTAGTAATGTTGGTTGGAGGAAAACATGATGCAAATGGCTGATCCAGGCTGTTCCCATCCTGCTGGTGGTGCTCCCTATCCCCATCTGCAGTTTTCTGGTTATTCGGCTGCCAGGCACTCTGCTGAATTGCATTTCACCTGGGGTGTTGAGAGCTCTGTGTGCAGCAGAAGCCAGGTCAGCACCACCTCATTGAGAACACAGTCTAAGCCCCAGGGCTCAGCCTCCTATTAGACTGAACTGGTTGTAGTGGCTCAGCAGCAGCCACCAGCCCCCTCCATTCAGTTCATCTAATAGGTCCCCATTATCAATTACCAATGCAAAGCCCTTCATTTCCTTTCATTCTGAGCAGGTAAGGTCCCAGTTTGCTACGTTCCCAGTGGTGTAGGAGCTTGCCACTCTGCATGCTGCCCAATTCTGAATGTCTCTGTGCTGCTTCATTTCTCATTTAGTGCACTGTTTTATTTTGGGGAAGGGAGAAAACCTCTGGGACAAATCCTGTGATGGGACTGCAGTCAGAACATGCTGCACTGGTACATCTCGAGCATCTGTTTTCTCTCGTGTTCATAGTGCTTCAGGCACACACACACACACACAGTGTGTTGAGCAGAGCTCAGGTTTTGTGGTGCAAAACAAACCCACTGTGGGTGGCTGTGTCTCAGAACCCACGTGCACTGTGATGGAAGCTCCCATCTGCAGATCAGATAGTGTGAAGGATGCTTTCATAAAAATTACCTATGGAGAATTTGGCATCGTGGCCCATAGAAAAACACCCTGTTACTATCTCTTCTCTCCCTGGAGTGTTTTGAGGTATTTGAGCACAATACAAGCTGTGACAAGTAACTGGAGAGGAACAGAAGTGGCTGTCACTTGCTCTTGTGGATGAATCCTGGCTGTTTGCTGGGGCTGTTCTGCTCTCTGGACACTTCTTTTTACCATAGCTTTGGGCCAGTGGTTTTCAGCTTTTCAGTGGCCTGTTACCACATGCCTCACAGCTGGGTTCTCTAGAGCTTGCATGTTTTGTTTCTCAGCCTGGTATTTTAACTCCTTCATTCCCTGTGGGCTGTGAGTAATCCTGGAAGATCTTGCAAATAACTTACTATCCACAAGCTAAGTTAAATTTTGCTGACATGTGCAGTCACAAGCGTTTTTCCTTATTGTTGGGTTTTCTGATGTCCCAGATAGGTCACTTAAGACTATATTGTTACCAGCTTCTAAGGCTGGACTGTCAAGTGCTCAACCTCCATAGCTGTGCTTGGGTCTGGCATCTCAGAAAGGAAAAGGACCCCAAAAAGATGGGTCTGCTGTGCCCACATTAGACTACTTCATCTTCTTGGGGATATGAAAATCTTTGTGTTTACGCAGACAAACTGATTCCAAGGGGATATATTGTCCCTGTTTAAAGAAAGGAGTGGTTAAGGTACAGGCAGGCTTTGCTTTCAGCCCTGCTTTTTTTGTTCAGTTCTGTATTTTACAAGGCTCGTTCATCCTTTTTGCACCAGAAATTAACCTTCATTTTGTCTGACCATTTCCATCCTCCTTGAATTCAGTCCTCCATTCCATTGGAGTACTTGTTTTATCACTGAGATCAGCTTTTCAGAGCTTCCTCTGAGAGAGAATGAGGGGGTCTGGGAACAATTCTGCTGTGCAAGGAAGTGCTTTGTTGCCTGGAAGAGTTAATTTTTTTGGTTTTTCTTTCCAGGACACACTAGTACCAGAAGAATGGAAGAAATGGGAAAAAACAAAGCAATTGCCTTCAGAACAGAAGTGAATAAATAACTGAAAGACCACAAGAAGAAAGGCAGAAGCATTTTTATTTTTTTTACATTGTCAAAAGGGTGCCAGTTATACCTTTTTTTTTTTTTTTTAATCTGATTTTCATCGTTGTGTTGATGCTACTTGAGGGCTTTTCATATGAATCTGGAAGTTCCTTTCTTCCCTGAATCCTTCACCCTTTTTTGTCCCAGGATGTTTGAATTTCCTTTAGAAAAAGAGGAACAGAAATTACAGTTCTGCTTACCCAAGTGCTAAATGATTTGTGAATAAAGAGGAAAGAATTTTGTCCTGATTTTTGTTTTCTGGCTGTCTCAGAGGCTCTGATTGGAAGTTGGGCTGACAGGAGAATGAGAAGAGCTTTTTCTGATGGGTAATTTTGTGTGTGAGTCATTGCTGTGTGAAGCTTCCTGTTCTTTCCTGACCTCTCCCAGTGGGGCATGTTTATTGGGAGGGACATCCTGCTCCTCTCTGTCCCTCGTGTGATGCTGTCACTTGCACTTCTCCACTGTTCTCTCTGACCTCAGGGTGGCCCCATGGACTGTGCTGAGTTGCTGTGGGCCCTTGGGGCCTGGCCCTTGCTGGGAGCCAGCTGCAGTGTTGCCTGTGTCTGTCCCTGGCAGGTTTGGTATGTCCCTTGAGTGGGTTCACTTCCTTTTCAGCCTCTGGAAGTAACCTTTTCACTCCAAATACAAGCTTGATTGAGGGTATTGTCTGTTCTTCCACAAACCCAATGCCTGGAATCTGCTGGCTGCCACGTTTGAGTGCTCTAACTTCTCTTGGTTACCACCTTCAAGACCACCAAGCAGTCTTGAGGCAGCAGATTTGGGCTTTATTGAAGGACACACTGACAGTAATAACCAAAGGCCAAAATTTCTTCCTGATGAGCAACTTCCACATGGGAAACTTAACAGTTTCCTCCCCTGCATCTGTTTGTTGGCTCGTCCCCTGACAGACCAGTTTCTTTAAAGGCCTTTTGGCAAAGGAACTTAATCAAATGTCTTCTGGAGAGCCCAGAAAGATATATTAACCAACAAGCATGTGGATAAAGGGTGTGGAACTGAGTCCTCTGAAGAACTTCACATGTGTGAGACATGACTCCACTTCATAAAAGCCATCTTGCTTCTTTCCCACTGCAGTTGTTCACACTTACCTCACTGTTTCAGTTCTTTGTAATAGTTTCTACCCATTTGTTCCATGTGAAAGTTCTCCTGTACACCATGGAGGTTTAATGAACTGCTCCTTGGACCTCCTCTGCACTCCTTCAAAACCCTCATCTCTTGCTGCATTTGAGTCCTCTGGGAATAAAGGAATTTTAAGCAAGAAATAATTAAGCTGCTATTTCTAGTATTTGACTTCGGAATTCCTTTTCAACCTGGTGAGTTATTTTTGAGCCTTGTATTTTATCAGCTTTGTTTTATAACTTATTTTTTCACTGATGCTTCCTGCTAGGACAGCTCTCCAGTGCTTTCCCTGTAGAGGTTCGGCACATTATCCAAGGAGAACACAGATGCCAAAAGAAAATCCTGGTGTGCTGCTGTGATCTATCTTCTCTAAGCTGTACGTGTTCCTGTTGATTTTCTACCTCCTCAGCTATCTGTTAGGAAAGGTTGTTTTTATTCTTTGGGCCTTTTATTGCCCATTTTCTGATTTGCTGTATTTGTTTCTATATTTTATCTCCCAGAGTTTGAGCTTGTTTCCTCATTTTGACACAAACTGAACTTTTAAAGGGAGTCCCTTCTATTTAATCACACAGACTCAGGTCTTTCCAAAGTGTTTTTGTTAGGTCTTTTGATTTTTACCTGGAGTATCCAATCTCATGTTTGCATATAACTTTTATGCCACTTAACAGAATTTTAAGTTTTTTTACTCCCACATTTATTTACAACTTGGGAAAGCTGCTTCTTTTGTATAATTGCTTTCCATGGAACAAGCAAGTCCTGATGGCTTCTGGTGTGTTAGTTGTTACAAAACAGGGTTACAAACACATTTAGAATCAGGCCTGCTCAGGTGTTTTTTTCTTCTGTGTGTTCTCTGTCCAGCTGTACTGTGGAGCAGAAGGATGGCTCATGTCTGACTGTGCCAGCTGCCTGCCTGCAGAAGAGTAATAGGTTGCCCATTAGTGCACTTGCTGCTGTCACACCTTCACTGATCTTCCTCAACATCCCCTCATTGCTCCCCACCCTGCTGGGGAGTTAGTAATATTTTTGTAGTGCTGGAATTGTAAAAACCTGAACAGGGAATATTTCTAGGGATTTGGTACAAGTATAAACTCATTTCCATGCATGTGGGAGCCTGCTGTCCTGAAACAGCAGATTCTGTGCTTCTGTGATTCTATTAAAAACATGGTCAGCTGTGGAAAAATGAGGTGGTATCTACTGCAGACTATCAATAACTTGTTTGGGTGCAAGGAGGGATGGTTTCAGAGGCATGAATATGTTTCATGTCACTGTATTTCCAACCTTGTCTTGAGTTATTGGTGTTGACTCAGTGCACTTGACCCCTGCCTTTGAGCATCTTCCATTCTGGGCCCAGAAACAAGAACCTAATGTCTCAGCAGACAAAAAGCCATCTTGACCTGCTGTTGGACAGGTTTATTTAGAACCATTTTTATTTCCCAGTAATGATGGGAAACCAGACCCCATCCTGACGATATTTACATTTCTGAAAATGTGATTATTACACAAACAATTGGAGAATTGGGGTGACAGGGAAGGAAGCAGTTGTGTGAGATCACTGGGTTAATAACTTAATACTCTGAAAACATTTACAGTTGTAACCCTAGCCATGGTGGAGTGCAGAGCCACTGGCTGACAATTCAAACACAGTGACAGCCCAACCTGATGCACAGGGATCTCCTTTAGCTCTAGCAGGGCTGTACCTTTGTTTGAGCACCTCAAGGATGAGCAGTAACTGGTAGCTGAGCTTTGCAGAGCTCAGTTTTTTGCTGCCAATGCTCTGTATCAAGGAGCTAGACAGCAGCAGCTCACAGCAGTGTTTCTAAGGGGTGGCAGATGTGTGGATTCATGTCTTACCTGGCCCTGCTCCAAGCTGCGTGTGTGGTTGTGCCATCAGCATCTATTTAGAGGAGGCTATAATCAATTTACTAAGTTGCCTAAAGGTGCCTTTTGGTGGCCTCATGTTTATTAATCAGGCCCTCAAACAGAATGATGACTTGGCAGAAATTTTGCTATGCTTTGTAATTTGGAAGCCTTAATTAGTAGGCAGTATGTGCCCAGATTACAAATGTATTGGTTGTTTTGGTCTTTGTATGTAAAGCAGCCTGAGGTTAAACCATGGAGGTATTTTTTTATGCTTTGTAATTTGGAAGCCTTAATTAGTAGGCAGTATGTGCCCAGATTACAAATGTATTGGTTGTTTTGGTCTTTGTATGTAAAGCAGCCTGAGGTTAAACCATGGAGGTATTTTCTGATTTTCAGTAAAAATATATATATATATATATACCAGACCAGCATATAGAGAGGGGAGTTAAATTTTAAGGGCTCAAATAAATAAGTAGCATATCAGAACTGCATTCCTTTGAACAGATATGAGGAGTGTATACATCAGTTTCCAGCTGGTCACATCCAGGCATGTCTTCAGTGCTGTGAAGGGCTTATTGTCCAGCTAGATCCATCAGCTCTGAATTGTTCTAGACAGAAGCAGGAGGAAAAGAGAATTCTGAGGAAACTCTGTGAGAGCACACACAGAAGTTTTTTCATTCTTTGGGGGCTTTTCCTGGCTGAGATTATTTGTGGAAAGGTAACCAAGTCAAGCATGGCAAGAGACATGCTGAAATGCCATGTCCTGCCAGCTGAATCCATAGGCATCATGTATGTAAAGTTCTGCACTTCCCCTCCCCAGCCCCTTTTTGGTTTCACGTGCATAAAGGTCTCTCCACACCCCTTTATATAGTGCTGCCTGGGGCTGGTCAGGCTCAGTTTCTATGGGACAGAGCAATAGGATGAGGTTGCTTCAAACAGAACAACTGACATTTGTATGAGTGAGGGTATTCCCAAGGATGGACTGTCTGCTGGCTCTTGGTCTCTTAGAGCTGGTAAGATTTAGAGTGCATTTCAAGTTCCAAGTGACTATTTCAGGAGTGAGGGGTGGATAAAACAGTAACACTTCTATTCAGTGCAAGAAAAACCTGGAATGTCCCAGGGATTTAGAGGCAGGTTCTGCTCCTGGGGGAAGATTTGTCTGCCTTTAGCCCAGCTTAGGCACTCAGGGACACAGTCTCGGGCAACTTTACAAGGCTGCTTTTGGTTGCTGCAAGCCTGTTGCCAGACATCTGCATGCAGCTTCACAACACATCATCTCCTGTTCTGATTAACAGAACTTCAGCTACTTGACAAAACTGATTGGGAGTTTTTTTCCTCCTTAGAATGCAGCAAGCAGCCCTTTTTCAGAGACAGCAGTGGAAGTTGGCTTGGCTGAAGGAGCTCTCCTTCAACTTGCTTGAGCAGTGCAGAAGCAGTGTGCTGTGTACTGAGCTGAGCAGGGAATGGTACTCACCAGAGCATGGGGAGATGGAAAGGGAGAGAGATTTACATGAACTTAGCCAGGGTGCTGGGAAAGCCCTCTAACTGGCTGCTGCTGATGTCCTGAGGCCTGGGAAAGGAGAGAACAGGACAGAGGTGGCATAATTGGAATGGAGAGAGAAATTACTCTTTCCACTGCTATTTTACTGAATTATCAGGGTGAGAAGACACAGCACAATGATGTGCTGGTGTGCATGGTGCAGGCTGGCTCAGGAGAGGCTGTGCCTTCTCTGCACCCTACTTGCCCACCTAAGGGAAGGGCTGGGTTAGGCAGTCAGGTAAGAGCTTTATTCTCTGAGAGTATCTGAAAGGTGATAACTTAATCCAGTAGCTTCACATCTGGAAGCCAGACAGCAATAAGGACTTTGTCTTACAATGTCTTGATCCCCACCTACCTTTGGCTCTGCAGAATGGCTCCCAGGAAGTCCCTCAGTACCATCTGCTGGTGGTAGTGGCTGTCCATCAGGATGCTGCCAGACTGGCGCCTGCTCAGAAATTCATGCACCCCTTCCCCTGGGCTGCTCTCACTGCTTCTGTTAATGCAAGGATGAGAAACATCTCTCTCAGAAATGCCTCTGAGTCACTCCAAGTTTGGCCCAGGCTGAGCAGCACAGCAGTGAAACACACTGGGTCTGAGCCTGGGCCAGTCTGCTTAGTTTCAGTAAGAAACTGGTCAGCCCTACCTGCTGCTGTATTAGGAGAGGGGTTGGAGCTGGCACCCATCTGACTAGTTGGTCTTATTTAGTGGCAGTCCTTGATCTTTCTAGCCAAAGCTACCCAAGTGGTAGTGGAGAGGTTGTTTTCTGTGCTCAAACCAGGCCAGGGATAACTTTTCTACCAGTGAATGATCGTTGCAGTTATTATTTGCAAATATTATTGCTTGTTGATACTATGGTAGAGCTCTCAGCTGATCTGACACTGAGAGCCTCGGAGGAAAGGATTAATTAGGCTGCTTAATTATAGCTGTGATTAGGGGTATCCGAGACAGAGGGATGCAGGATGCCCTTTGGGACATGGAACAGCAGGAAAGATTCCTTCTGTTGCCGTGGAAGGCAGCTACTGCTTCTATGTGCATGAAAGAAGCTGCCCAGTGTACCAAGCAGAATTTTAGCCCTAGGGACAGCAAAGCTCTGTGCTTACCCAAGCCTCTTGCCAATGATGGTCTGTAAGAATTTCCGGGCAGAGATCTGCCCCAGGAATTTCCTGTAGTTGTCAGTGAATATGGCATCAGCGTGGCGCTGCATCCTAGGGGTGAGAGACAAGCAGAAGTTGTGCTCCCTGAGCTGGCACTCAGCCTTCTAGGTGACAAATGGGTGTTTCAGGTGACTACAGACCAGATGTGACACTGCTGGGGTCAGGGGCAGGTAAGCACAGCCAACACTTTGTGGTATTGGACTGTGCTACTGTTGGAGGGTAAAAGGATTTTAGGAAGCTTAGTCCTGACAGGGAGGCAACAGGCAAAATAAAATGTCAGTTAATTAGTACCCAGACTAAAAAAAGTGAGGAGAAGTACCTGCAAACCAAAGATGAGGTCAGAGAATCAGTGGAAAAGAGGAGAACCACAGTGGTTAGACACAGGTAAGGGAAGTACAACCCACTTGGCTGGTCCCACTGTCTTAAGGATGGGTTCTCTGTGCTACAGACAGAAATAACCATCCTCCATCTCCAGGCAGGGATGGAAAGGAGAGGCTCTAACAACCATACAGATGGATTCCCAGAGCCCAGTGGAAAATTATGTTCCCTGCAGGAGTGCTGGGCCTGTGCCCCTGCCCCTGTCAATATGTCATTGCTGCTGGAGGGACAGCAGCCTGGTTGTGGACACAGGTGATGGTGAGAGCTGCTGTGGTCCCAGCCTGCTGCTCTGATTGCAAAGCTCAGCTGGGTTCTTCCTCAAGAGCCTGAACTTTGCAGTGGTCATGGGACTAAGTGACCTGCTGGTTTGCTCCCGGGCTGGAGAAGATCATAACCAGCATGTTCTTGCTGCAGTAGAGCTGAGAGGTGAGGTACAAACCTTTTCTCTGTGGGGTCTGTTAACAAACCCTCTTCCTCCTGTTCCTCTGCCAAGGGGTTATGGCTGTTGTGTTGTAGCTGGAAGTTGAGGGCCTTGGCAGCAACTGGCCCTGGGCTGTACCTGCAAGACACACCCAAGGCTCACTGCAAGGTGTTCTCAGTTGCCAGGCAGGGATCAGCCTTCTTGGCCACTACTCCACGTTCTGCTTTTTCTTTCTCCTTTTGCCATCCCCATCTCATCAGTAACACAAGTGTTGCCTGTCACTCTCCCCAGCTAGAAGCTGCCCTGAAGCTATTTCAGCAGTGAAATGATGGTTGATAGAGCTGCCCCAAACACACGTATCCCCTCACTGAGCTCCCAGCCTCCTCCAGCAAAATTCCAGCTATTCTGGTATCATTACACCACGGCTGTGGCACAAGGCTAAAGCATTTTCCATGGGATGCTGCAAATCCACGTTGTAGACCCCAGTGCTCAATTTTGTGCTTCCACTGATTTGTAGTGGTATGAAAGAATATCACACATTTTAACAGTTGGCAAGAAAATACTTGAAATATTAACAGGCAGATGTTGAGCTCAGGTACTAGAATACCTGCAGTTCTGATTTCCATGCAGGTGGCCTGCAGGCACAAATTTTAATCAGTGATGGAGCCAGTGGTGCTGGCTGCTCTGGAAATAGCCAGATTTACCTTTATAGGACCTAGCATTCAATTCTAAAATGAACTGTTTGGGCTGAAATAACCTCTCAGGTGCCTACCTTCTTTGAAAACCACCTCTAGGCTAACAGTGTGCCTAAAAAATTAAGCCAAGGCAAAGAAATAGATTTTCCAACACACACATAGTTAGTTCTTCTGGCTTTCAGAAGTGCTGGCAACCTTCCTTTGGCACGTGCTGATTTTGCACAAGGTGAAAGATGAGGCAGGAAGCACCAGCATGGGCATCTCAGCCAGCAGCTTACCTGAGAGCTGGGTAGAGAGGAGAGGAGATGGAGCATGTGACCAAATGCAGGAACAGCAGCAGAGTGGCCTTATCCAGCATCTTCCACCCTTGGGGTAACCTGAAACATAGAGCAGTGAGATGCTGAGGGCCAGGAGGGGAGGCCAAGTGCCACCTTCATGTTCTTGGTCCCCCTGCTTACTTATTGGCACAAAGGGGCTGGATTTGTGCCTCTTGTGTTTGTGCTTATGGTGCTTCCCAACGCAGAGATGTCTTGACATGACAAAGTCTTTGCTAGGACGTGCAGTTCCTGGAGGCAGTGGCTGTGTGTGACTGCTCAGGGGGCTGGTGGGAGGCAGGGCTGGTCAGCAGGGTTTCATGCTGTGGGACCCCCTTGTTGACCTGTCCCCTGGCTGTGGTTGAAGGAGAATTAGGTTTTTTTAAAACCTTTCAAAGGTATAACAATACTTTGTTGCGAAGAGAGCTCTTTCCAAATGGAAAGGGATTGCTTGGGCTTCTAATTTCCCCAGCAAACTTTCCAAGCAGGTTTTACTGGCAGTGGTGGCAGGAGGGCACCCATTCTGATGGGAAACATCAGCAGTGAGCTCTGTTCTACTGCTTGGAAAGAGCTGCCCACCCCTCTGGTAGGGGGGACTAATTAAGGACCAGTGTTCATGTAAGTGGGTCCCATCTGGATACTGAGGAAGTCAATGACAGAATTAGTGGCAGTGTCAGAAGTGCATAGGCAGACAAGGTGGTGCACTAAAAAAATGGGGATTCTTATCACAAACTTGTTCTCAGCCCATTCCCTGTTCCCTGATGGGCTGGGAGTTCAGCAGCTTCCCTACCTGTTCATCTGGCGTCCAGCAGAGGGAATACCTGGTGGTATCCCCTTCCTCCAGTACCTGGTTTCTTACAGCGCTACTCTGGCCCCTCAGAAAGCCAAGGAATGCTCAGAAGCAGCAAAAAAAATGACTTTAAGAGAGGCTCGCCGGGCTTCTGGTTTTAAGGCAAATTTGCTGCCTTTTTTATTCCCCATCTTCTTCATTTGAACTTGAAAAAGCTTATCTCTTTTGTGCCTCTCTCCCCTAAATATTTTATTTCTAGAATACAGCCCTGCTTACCACTTTCTTTCTGCATCTGTTTTATCTTTGAATGCTGGGGTTTCCTCCAGAATTACTTTTTGTCCTTTTGAGTTTGGTTTTGGTTTTCTCTTCCCTGTTATTAGTTTCATTGTGATCATTATTGGGGGGGGGGAGGGGGATGTTTTCAGTTTCTGGTTTTGCCTTTCTTCTCCTGTCTTGCTTTATCTTCTCTCCCTTCACTACAGTCTGCTTCGTGGGCATTTCTGTCTCCCTTTTTCCCTCTGGAAGGAGCCTGAAATGAGAAGTCCCACAGCCCTTCCCTGTTAGTGTCTGCTATTTCAGAGGAGAAGCTGGGGAACTGAAGTGTCACCCTGCATACAGGCAGCTTGACAGCTCTGCAAAACCTTCAAAATTCTCCTGAGGTGAGGAACACTTTACTCTCCTTTCTGGCAGCATGGAAAAAGAATTATTAATAAATAAATTCCCCTTCAGATGAAGAGCTTCTAGTGCCGTTCCAGCAGATACAGCCTAATAGCTTCACTCCATCCTGTGCGCCAGCAGCACCAGTGATGTTGCAGAGATGGGGTAACTTGCTGTTTCTGAAACCTTAACCTGATCAGTCTTAAAAATACCACTATGTAGATGAAAATAAGTTTTTCCTGTGGTTTTAGAAAAGTTCAGATTTTTATACCATGAAAGACTACATCAGCAAAGCAGAAATCCTTTCAAGTGCCTCCCCCGGGCTCGCTGGAGCTGGCTCCTCATTGTCTGTAACACACTGTTGCCTTTCTCCGTGGCTCAAACACAGTTTTATTGATGGGTGAGTAAAACCACTCATTTTCCAAGGTAAAAGGGAATCACATCAGAATAGCAGTAGAGGAAGGCTGTGCTACAGCTGCCAAATGTCTAATGTGTTTTTTAACAGCTCATCTCTAGTGTTACTCTGTTGATTTGCACTTACCCTGCAGTTCAGCTCTCGCTTCATTCTGTCACTTGGTACAAACAAATCTTGTATGGTACAAAGGATATTGTACCTGGCAGAGCTAGTTACAGATGCCAGCTTCCATGGCATTTCAGTGTACTTTAACTGTCTCCAATTTACAGACAGACATTATCCTGTTAAATGCACGTACAGAAACTCACACTTACCGTTCCCTTGGAAAACCAGCTCTTCCTGGATCAGCTCCTGCTCAGGTGTTTCCTTCCCCTGTTGCGAATCCAACTTCTCCAGAGCTGCTTCCGTGAGCCCTGCTGGGTCTGTCCTCTCCACGGGGAGCCCGGGCAGGATGTGGGATGCGTGCTGGGCTGGGAGGACACTTGGATGTCCCCCCAGCTGTCCTCTGGCTGCCAGGGAGGTGCATCTCCTTTTATACCTGTGCTCGTCAGGAGCCCCGTGGGCTTCTACGCGTCAGAGGATCAATTATCCTCCTGAATTTCCGAGGCTGTGTTTAGCATCCCCTCTGTGTGTGTGTGCAATGACACAGGCAGGGAGGTTGCAGGTGATTATGCCTATAGTCTGGGGTCATTTGCATGCTTTCTCCTTACTGCTCAGAGAGTGAAGAGCAAATAACAGCAATAATCAGCCAGAGTGAATGACAAATTTGCTTTGCAAGGTGAACTTCTCTTTCGCTTTGCAATTGCATTTTTTCCTCCTACTCCACAATGAGAGCAGATTAACCATTAATTCCTTCTCACAATGCCTGCTCGGGAGGGTTTATCTTTTTTGCTATTTTCTTTTGCTTTGATTATCAGCCTTTTTCTCCTTTGTTACTCACACCTGCTAGCATTAGCGGGGCAGTTCATGCTTCAGTCCCTTGCAAACATCACAGCTTGACATCAAGCACACAGAGCTGTTCCCACTCTGTTCCTGTGCTCTGGAACAAGGTGAGGGTCTTCCCTGGGGTGCTGCATGCGCTGGCAGCTGTTTTCATTCTGGGAACAAGGGTTGTGAAAGCCCCAGTAAAAAGAACACATAGTCTTGGTGCCAAGAAGTTCAGGACAGTTCAGAAGAGTGAAAGCCGAGGTGCCAGCATGAGTTCCACCTGTCAGATTTTTAGTATTGACTTTATAATGCCCAGAATTGATGGAGACCCAAACATCCCTCTTGGAGCTTGCATGACTTGATGCTGGGAAGAAGTTCCAGCAGGTGAGATGGCTCAATCTGTCTGCTGCAGAAATACCTTCCCCTTGCACCAGAGCACTCCTCACAACCATCAGTGGCAGAGAGAGACTGCAGGGAAGGACAGTGCACCTGATGTGCCTGTGCCCACACGTGCAGGGGGTTGAAAGCATTCAGTGCTGGTCTCTCTGCCATTGCCTGTTTGCTTCTTGCCAAGGTGAGAAATCAGCACTGTGATTGTGTCTCACTTCTTGGTGAAGCAATACCCTCCTTCCAAACTGTGTGCTCTCAGAAATATGTGACCCAACAGTTGGAAAGGTTTGAGTGAGCTCAGCACACCAAATGACTCCATGGAGTTAAATAACAGTCACTCTATACCCAGACAGATGTGCACCACCTCTGAGCTCTCCCTGCTTTGAGGGCTTCAAGGGCTTTGGTATCAAATCAGGACCAGGACAATTGAAAGAGAAATGAAAAGGATTGAATGGACCAAAGCAAAAGTTTGAGCTGACTCTGAATTGAGCATCTGACCAGCCCCTCCTAGTGTAATCCTGAAACAGAACAACAGATGTGAAGAGAAGCAAGAACTACTGCCTTCCTCCAGTTGTAAAAAGAAATGTTCAGCCTGTTCATGGGGAGAGGAGCTGCCATATAGGTCAGGTAGGTGTATCACATGTATCATCCACTCCTCAACTCTGGAGAAGGGAATGTTTGGGTAGGGCAGAGCACGTTTTCCAAAATCCCTGTACAGGTGCACACAGCTGCACTCCATCCCTGCAAACTGAAGAGGGATTTCTCTCTGCTTTTTTGAAACAATCTGTTCTTGTTCGCTCATCTGAGAGGCCAGTTGCACCGATATTTCAGCATGACTTATTTTTCTTCCCCTGTCTTGATTCTACACGGGCTGAAGAGATGAATCAGACCACGTTAAACCAATCGAGAGCTGGTGCCATTTCAAGGATTATCCCAGTGTGGCTCTGAGCTAATTCTCTCTTCCCCTGGCCCATCACCTGACATGGAGCTGCTGTAACATCCCAGGCAGCACCTCTCGGATCAAGGGGAATCAGTCTAGAATTGCCTTGTTTATAGCTGCCTGCTTGGATTAGGAGGGCTGTGATCTGCATCCCTATCTCAAGTGAGCTGCTTTCAGAGGAGGCTCATAAAGCTCCATCGTCTTTGGGCTTTCCTTGCTCTGCCTGGGTGAGGTTCCTGTCATGCTCGGCTGGACCCAGCAAGGCTCAGGCAGCAAAAGCTCTCCTGGTGACTTCAGGTTCATTGCAGGAGGCAGCAGAAATTTCTAAAAACCCTCCAGGCTCTGTCGGGTGTGTGCAGCTGAGGAGTTCTGAAGTAGCATAAATAGGACAGCTTTGCCATCCCCACGATTTCATGTCCTGCCTTTAGTAAAAATCTTTGTATCTCCTTTTTCGTGGAGCTCCTCCACCAGACTCCTTGAGCTCTCCCTCTGGCTACCGAGGCTACTTCCCCCTCAGCAGAAATGGCTGCAATCCCCTCTGCTGTCAGCAGCTCAGCCTTGGCTGGGGTCCCACCGTGGTGGGGTAGGCAGGCAGGTGGGGCTGGTGCCCCCTGCACTCCTCACAGCCTGAGAGCTGCTCTGTGCCTATTCAAAGTCGAAATGTACCAGTTGTGTGTCAGCATTCCTCGTGGGAATTTCGTTTTAATTTGGCACAACAGATGACAAGCTTGCATTGCAAAACAAACAGCGTTTGCTCTTTAGAATCTCTCTTGGTTTGTCCCTAGAACCTTCCCAATTTCTGCCCACCTCTCCTCCCTGCCACAGCTGGTCTTGTCAGCATCCCCTGGCTCCCCAAAGAGAGGTATGGAGCACTCAGATCACCTCCCACAGACCATGGCTTCAGGGCAGCACTGTGCACTGGGTA